CAAGCTCAGTCCGTGCACGGCCCCGAGCTGATCTGCACGGCGTACCGCTCGCCCCGTCCCCGGTGAGCAGCGCAGGCTGCCAGCCCCTGCTCGAGCAGCCTGGCCTGGCACCCCGGGAGCGCCGTACGAGGAGCCTGTCCCGCCCTGCGCCTGGCAGAGGGTCGCCCTGTCTGACGCGGAGGGAGTGCCAAAGAGTAATTCCCCCTGTCTGACTCCTCCGGCGACTCCTCGCTCGTGTCTCTCCACCACAACCTGCGTAACTAAAAGCACCCACAGACTACGGCGCTGCTGCGTCTGAGAAACCCTAACTTCAAGCCCGCTGCTGGTAACGAACCGATATTCAGCCTGTTCCAAATCCAGCCGCAGCGACTCGAGTCCAGCTCGCGCCGTTTGTAAGTGACACAGACGGGCCAAAGGCTCTTCTCTGCCCTGAGTTCTCGGCCGTAAGCTTTGCTGGGCTGGGGGAGCGGAGCAGGGATTCCAGGTGATGGGAAGGGCTGGCTGAAAAACAACCGACCTGTGTGGTGTGCAGCTCAGAACGGACTTAAACCCAAGTGGGAAAAGGCAGGTTCGTCTTCAGCGCTGCTGCCTTCCCTGCCTCTACACTGCGTTTTTGCCTTGGGCTGGGCTTGTCTGTTCTGATCCCCCCCAGCTGTTTGCTCACGATAGGATGAGTTCCTTCCCTGGGAGGTGTTATTCCCCTTGCTAGCACAGGTAGACCCAGATGGCTTCGCTCCTGCTGTAGTAAAAGCTGCCAATCATCGCTAAAAAAAACCCCTAGAAATGGGAAGGTGAGGGAAGCCAGGGGAGGGGAGAAGAGGGGTACAGGAAAATCCTGTAACAACAACAACAAAGTTTCTGAAATAAAAGACTTTTAAAACATTCTCTGTCTCCAGCTTTGTCCTAGATAGGCTCCTGGTGAAATTTTGCTCGGGTCTTGTAATGCTTCCCTCCTCCTCCTGGGTTTCCTTGGCAGCCCCGGCCGAGTCGCCGGGCTTGTGGGTTCATAAAGCCTCTCTGTTCGGAGCCTTCCTCCCGGCCCTGGCTTCGCGGGGGCTGCTCCGGGAGGGCGCGGGACCACCGCAGCCCTCGGCTCCGCTCCCGCCTCGTCCCC